TTTTGAAAATCGTGAAAATTAAGTGTCGCGAAAATAATTAACAATAAGGTATTACTGTTTTTAGATTTTACGATGTGTGATTCCGTAGAAAAATGTTAAGTGCATTCCCTTTCGAGAAAGGTTCTCAAAGAAACAAGAGAGTGGGAGATTTGCTACAATTTACACTCTAGAATAGCAATAAGCTCTGGAGCCTTTTTACAAAAAGACACCCCAAGCAACTGTAAGTGGAAAATCCGTCACATTTTCCCCCAAAAAATTATTTTCTCATGTGGGGTCCCCTAAGTTATCTAAATGTGTTATCTAAAGGAACGTATGGAGCCAGGAGCCCATGGGAGCTTAACTGGAATTTCCAGAGGGGTGGGTAGGGGAAAAGGTGCAAACCAAAAGACCTTCTCATATGTATGGTAGGAGGGTTAAAGATGGTAGTACAAAACAACACAATTTATAGGTCTTGCTCAGTAGTTCTTGTTTTAGTAAATTATGTTTGTTTGTTTGTTTGTTTTATTTTCTGCTAAGTGATGCAGCTGGAACTAAAGACATTCGGAAATCACTTTTCAAAGGAGCCAGAGTAAGTATAACTTATTGTAAGATACTACTTTTAGAAGAGCAGGGTCCTGATTTAAAACACTAGCATAAGACCAGGTTTTGCTTGTTCTGATCAACAGAACATACCCATTAGTTAATTAGACTGTCTAAGCTCCAGACAGCTGCATGGGGGAAACTGAATGATTGTGATATTTTCTAACTTACACTAAGAAACTTAGGCTGTTTAACCCAGCGTTTATTTAACTGGTGCAAAGCCATGCAGTTTTTAGGCCTTTTAGGCCCGGAATTTAATAAAGAAAATATGGTTTAGGGGTATTTCAAGGGTGTCAGGGCCTCTTCATATGAGCCCTCTAACCGGGCTGGCTCGGTCTCGGGGACGGCAAGTTTTGTGTTTGTTCGTATGGGAAATTTCAGCCCGGTCGACTTAGATGGCAAAAGATTTGAACGGAATTTAAAACAAAACCAAAATGGTGTAACATAAACGTCTCGTTCGCGACTGCTTTGTGGACTCGCACAACTTTACTCATAAAGCTAATTCGCGTACTTCTGAAGTGCAAACACATACCTTGCAAGGCAAAAATTGT